CCATGTAGTAGAGTCAGCGTGGGGGGGGTGGGGGGGGAGGTCTTTAGGATGTGGGATGTTCCAAACACTTCCCCCTTCCCACAACTCCTTGCGGGCCCCCAACCATGTCTCTGTCCTCCATGGAAGCAAAATAGGACATGCAGACGTAGATGCCCATGTCAGTCACGTATACTCGGCCCAGCTTTTAGGGCTGGACAGTGTTTGGGTGATTTGGGGGCAGAATTTTGATCATATTATTTTGCTTTTCTGCCGAACACACACAGCCGTGTCCTGTCCTGTCCTGTCCGAGCAATCTCCGAGAGCCACCCAACAGTCTCTGTTAGGGTTGCCAGCACGGCTATTTTTGGGCGGGAACGCACAGGAACAGAGTTCCGGCTGGCTCCCAAGTTGGGCACGCCCAGCCATTTTCTCCAGGGGAGCTGATCTCTGTCAGCTGGAGATTGATTGTAAAAGCGGGAGACCTCCAGGCCCCATCTGGAGGCTGGCAACCCTAGTCTGTGGAACTCTGCTTCTCTAGTTCCAGACAGGGTGTGGGGAAGAAGGGCCGACCCCTCTTGCAGCCAAATTCTACGCCTAGAGGAGAAAAAGAACGGGAACGAGGTCATGCTTTAGGGATCAGGCAAGAACCTTCGCGCTGCTGGCTGCGTCCTTCTTGCGGTCGCCGATAGCTGCGATGCTGGCAAAATACTGGATCACCCGTTTGGTGTTCACCGTCTTTCCCGCACCGGATTCTCCGCTGGAAGAAGGAAGAAGGAAAATGAGGACCACAGGATGCCGCCTATCCCAATGACTGCGTAGCTCTCCAGGGTGTTAGGCAGAGAAGGGTCATCCCCCACATGTCAGTGCCAACCACCGAACCTGGTATCTTCTGCTTGCAAAGCAGATCAGGTTGCCAACCCTGGCTTGGGAAATTCTTGGAGGTCTAGGGGTGGAGAGTAGGATTTTGGGAAGAACCTCAGTGGGGTATAATGCCACAGAATCTATCCTCCAAAGTAGCCATTGCTCCGAGAAAACTGATCTCAGGAGTCTGGAGGTCAGTTGTAATTTTGGGAGATCTCCAGGCCCCAAAAGAAGGCTGGCACCCTTACAAAGCAGGTGCCCTGCCACTGAGCCACGGCCCCTCCCCAAGTGAGGGTGGGAAGGGACATTCTATATCTATAGCGGCTAAGTAATTGGCATGTGCCTTTTATTTTTACAACTAAGGTAAAGGTAAATGTTTCCCTTGCTCGAAAGCTAGTTGAATCGGACTCTAGGGGGCGGTGCTCATCTCCGTTTCCAAGCCGAAGAGCCAGCGTTGTCCGAAGACTTCTCCGTGGTCCTGTAGCCGTCATGATTAAAAGCCGAGGCGCACGGAATGCTGTTGCCCTCCCACCAAAGCGGTCCCGATTTATCTACTTGCAATCTCTTGCTTTCGAACCGCTAGGTTGGCAGGAGCTGGGGCCAGAGACGGGAGCTCACTCCGTCGTGCGGCACTCGGGTCTCGAACTGCCGAACTACAGACCTTCCAGTCTGGAGCTCAGCGTCTTGACCTCCGAGCCACCGCAACGAGGACTTCCTTATTTAAAAAGTTAAACAGAAAATGTGTTTCGGTACTCACGTGATGAGGACAGACTGGTTTTCTCGGTCTGGAAGGAAACAGATAACGTCAGGATAGCCATGCTGATTCAGACGGGAAGTCCTCCTAAACCAGCATTCTGTCTCCAGCAGGGGACAGCCACGTTCCGCCAGGAATCTCACAGGCAGTTAGACTCCCTCTGAACCTGGAGGTTCTATTCCTACAACATGTGGCCAAATAACTCACAGGCCTATTCTCTGCTGGACTTACCGAGTCTTTCAATGCTATTTATGCCTCGTGGCCCTTAACAACATCTTATGTCATTACACTTCATGGGTTTCTTATTCAAAGCAGAGAATTTAGACAGCTGTTTGGGAGAAGAATTGGACAGGGATCGGAATTAAGAGGTTGGTAGATGGATTGCCCAGACTGTAAAACCAAATATATCTCCTTTCTCGCCAGTTCTCTCTTTGCTCAGTTAAGTTCTGGTTGGCAGGTAGTTTTGTTGTTTGCACTGGCCGTGGTAGAGTCTATGTGAGCAACTCAGGACTATACCACCTCATTCTGCTGCTGGTATAGGCCAGCCCAGATACAACAATACAGACAAAACTTCCACATTACTGCGGTGGTGCCAGTTCACCCATTCATCTGCCAGTCATCAAGAGTGCCATCATCGATCATGGAGGAATCAACTGATTTGTGTGCGTTGCACGTCAGGCCACAAACTCCCTCAACAGATCACGGCGTCGGATCCTTCCAGCTTTTCCTGTGTGAGGATGGGTCCCTTCCAATGTTCCCTCTAAGCTAAGTTAGT